GATGAAGGGTCTAGGCCCGAAACGTCAGCCTCTCTGCTCCTATGATGCTGCTTGGCCTGCTGTGTTCATCCAGCCCTGCACCTTGTTGTCTCGGATTCTCCAGCATCTGCAGTTCCTACTATCTCTGATTCGATTTTAACCCCCTTCAAGACCCAGTTGGATGCGTATGTCCAGACTGTAGCGAGTGTTAACGCTCATGTCAATTGCCGCAGGAAATTTTTTACGATGTTGAAGGTATTACTTAAAAGCACATTGTTGTTATTGGTGTCTATGAGCACTGGTCCATTTGCCAATCTGAACTGAAGCCCAGTATTCCGCTCGGGGAATATCCCCTGTCGACAAACAGGAGAGCACTGCGCAGGCGCAGTCCTGGAGGTACGGAGCATGCGCAAATGTGTTATTGCCGGTCGACAGATGTTTTTTCGTCTTCGGTCCGAAAACGGTGAGAAAAGGGCGGGGTGGAGGGAGCGAATGGATACGGTGGGTGCATGGGGAGGTTTCGTGAAAGTCTTGTGTGAACCGCAAGCCCGAAAATTATGTTATCGGCGGCCTATTTACAGGGAGTGAGGGCGAGTCGTTAATTGGAGACTATTCGCCGTGGCTGGGCCCCCGGGGTAACGGCCGCCATTTTTATTGGGGGCACTGGGCGGCAGGGTGAATGTGCGGCCACCATCTTTGTTAGGGGCTAATGCTTGTAATGATGGGTGGGCTTGGTGCCCATTGTTCAGGATGGAGACTAGGAACAAAACAAAGTTGCTGGAAAAGCTCAGCAGGTCTGGCAGCATCTGTGCAGGAGAAAACAGAGTCAACGTTTCGGGTCCGGTAACCCTTCCTCAGAACTGATGGTGGCTGGGAAAACGTCAGTTTATATGCAGCAAATAGGGAGGTGAGTGGGGTAGGGAGTAAACGATAAGGTAGAGCCCAAAGAGAGAGAAAGACAGTTGGACAGACAAAGGAGTTGCTAACGATCAGGCTGGGAGTTGTGCCTTGAAGTGGCAGGCAACAGGTAGTCCAGGGTCTTTTTTGTGAGCAGAACGTAGATGTTCTGCGAAGCGGTCGCCAAGTCTACGTAGATTGCCACTTCAATGCACCACCCTGCTCTCTGGTCAATATCTCTGTCTCCGGCTTGCTACAGTGTTCCATGAAGCCCAACGCAAGCTGGAGGAACAACACCTCATTTTCTGCTTGGGGACCCTACAGCCCTCTGGACTCAATATTGAGTTCAACAATTTTAGGGCCTAAACTCTTCCATGTCCCAGGCCCCCCACCCCACACACCAGGCCTTGTTACCACATAGCCTGCCACTACACACCCGCTGTTGTTAGTCACTAACAGTCCCCATTAACAACTATTCACCCTCCCAGCCTGATTGTTAGCAGCTCCTTTGTCTGTCCAACTGTCTTTCTCTCTCTTGGGCTGTATCTTATTGTTTACTCCCAACTCCACCCACCTCCCTATTTTCTGCATATAAACTGACGTTTTCCCAGCCACCGTCAGTTCTGAGGAAGGGTCACTGGACCCAAAACGTTAACTCTGTTTTCTCCTCCACGGATGCTGCCAGACCTGCTGAGCTTTTCCAGCAACTTTGTTTTTGTTCCTGATTTACAGCATCCGCAGTTCTTTTGATTTTTATTCAGGATGGAGACTACATGTCCATCAAGCTGTATTCGCCATTCACACTCAGTGTTTTATTGATGAGGCAGAGCCGGACCACAGTAAAAACAAAAAGAAACAGATTTTTCTCTCCATATCCACTAACTCATGAGACATTCTGCTCTGTGTGTCCTAAGATCTGTGGATCTGTTCAGTCACATGAAGGCCCTACTCATGATCCACATAGACATCACTCGTATCTACTGCTGACCATTAGACGCTGCACTGTGCAGCAGGGAGAGTGTGTGGCCTTCCTTGACCAGGAGGAGGGGATGTTGTGAATATCTATCCCAGACTGACGGGGATGCATTTTGTGAACGTTTCTTTCAGGACATTACAAGTGGATTTGCAGATGGGAAACTCCAAGTAAATGTACTTGCACCATCAAACTCTGACAGAATTACTCAATTCATCAGGACCTGGATAATAGCAACCTTTGTCTGTGAGGATTGAGTTCCAGCTCATTCCCAATTGCTGCATAAAATTTCTGCCTTAAATCTCTGCACTGTCTCTGTAGAATTTCCCAAACGTTTAAATCTTAAACATGAAAGTAGGTTTTAACCTCCTAATGTAAGTCTATTACAAACACCTCTATGAAATCTCCCCTCATTTTCCTTTGCTACAAGGAGACTCATCTCAGTTTCTCCAAACACCTGATTCCCCAATGTCTGTTTACTATTTATAAGGTTTAAGTCAGGATTGTGTTGGAACACTCTCCACTTGCTTTCATCAGTGCAGCCCCTAACAATATTTAAGAAAGTGAACTTCCTCCAGGACAAAGCAGTGTGCGTAAATGGTGTCCCATTCACCAACTACAACATTCAGTCTCTCAACCCTGAGGCACAGTGGCATCTGTAAAAGGTAAAGTCGCCATTTTCCTACCAGACCAGACAGTTGTTTTCTTATCCGAGAGAGATGACTGGTGGTGGTTTAACCTGAAGATCACCATGCTTCAGGAGAGGGGGAGAGGTTGAGAAGGAGAATCTATCTCTTGTAGATAGATATTCTTGATGTGCACCATCTGTTGTGCTGCAGTAACTCACCCAATCTCCTTCAACAGCACTTGGCAAACTTGGACCTCTACCAGCTAAAACGACAAGGGCAACGGGTCTGTGAGAATACCACCACCTGTAACTCACACTCCAAGCCATATATCATCGTGAAACTATATCACTGCACCTTCACTTCACTGGGTTGCAATCATGGAGCACCCTTCCTAACAGCACTGTGGATGTACTTCCACCCCAAATACTGCAGCAGTTAAAAAAGACAGCTCACCACCATCTTCTGAAGCACTATTTGAGATGGGTAGTAAATGTTAGCAAAGCCAGCAAACACCCATGTCACATGAATGAATAATGTAAAAATAACCTTAACCTTGCAACTACCCTCATCCCTTGAACCGTTCTGGTAAAACTGTTTTGTTGCGTCACTCTTGGGGACCCTCCCATTGTTCACAATGTCGGGGGGATCTCTGGTTTGCACAAACACAGACAGACTGAGTTCCTGTGTGTGATATCATCATGTACTGACAATTGCACTAGAACTCACTTCCTGTAAGGGTGGTAGAGAGAGAAACCCTCATAACATTTAAGAAGTATTTAGATGTACATTTGCAATGACAAGATATACAAATCTATGGGCCAAGTGTTGGAAAATGGGATTAGAATAATTAGGTGGTTGTTTTTAGGTGCAGACGTTTTCTGTTCTGTATACCTCTGTAACCCTGAGACAGAATATCACAAGCAACCTTTGATACCAGGTCAGACAAGGATATATTAGAATAGATTACAAATGATTTTCAATGTTTTAGGGAGTATCTTCACAAAGAAGTGAAATAGAGAGGCAGAGTAGTTTAGGAGGGAATTTTGAAGCTCAGGGCCCAGGAATTTTAAAGTGCCACCACCACGTGGAGAAATAAAACATTGGGTATGCTCATTGGCTGGAATTAGAAGAGAGCACATATCTTGGAGATTTGTGAAACTGGAGGAGATTACAGCTGGAGAGAGGGTTGTCGATGCTGGAGGACGTTACAGAGATAGGGAGGGCTGTGAGACTGGAGGATATATAGAGATAGGAAGAACTCTCAGAACAATTTGAACAGAAAGATGAGAAATTTACAATTTATGTTTTTAACCTGGAGTCTATCTCAGTCGGTGAGCAGAGGGTGATGGTTGAACAGCACATGGTGTGGGTAAGCACACTGGCAGCAGAGTTTTGGATATGATTTGAAACTTATCTTGGGATAAAATATTTCACCATGGTTGTGAACAGTCCAGTTCAGTGTCAAGACAGTTGCCAGAAATAGGAATGATGTCAGTGGAGAGGGAGTTTAGTTTTTTACTGGGGACAGCTTAAGTCTTCTTAGTATTTAAACGGAAGAAATTCCTGCTCATTCAGTACTGTACATTAGACAAGTCAGAATGGTGTGTGACTGGGAGGGATGGTGATGCTACCATAGTCCTTGTAAGTGGTGGAAGGTGAAAATGGAAACATAAAAAATAGGTGTAGGTCATTTGGCCCCTCAAGCTTTCCCTGCCATTCTGTAGGATTGTGTTTGATGTGTTGTAGGTCTCAAACTCTGCTTCGCAGAATCCCTGCAGGAGGGAAGCAAGCCATTCGGACCATCAAGTCCGCCTAGACCACCTCCCTACCCTATCCCTGCATTCCCATGGCGTATCCACGTAGCCTGCACATCCCTGGACTGTGAGAGGAAACCCACACAGACAAGGGCAGAATGTGCAAACTCCACACAGATAATCACCTGAGGATGGAATCGAACCCAGGTCCATGGTGCTGTGAGGCAGCAGTGCTAACCACTGAGCCACCGTGTCACCCCCACACCTCGGTATAGCCTTCAACTCTTGTATGTTCCAAAAATCTATCTGCCTCCTCTTTAAATACTTAGTGATCCACGCTCCATAGCTCTCTGGGTTAGAGAATACCAGTCAAAATGATGGCACGATGGTATTATTGCTGGACGATTAATCCAGAGATCCAGGTAATGTTCTGGGGCCCTGGGTTCGAATCCTACCATGGCAGATAGTGGAATTTGAATTCAATACTAACTAAGAGTCCAATGATGACCTCAAATTCATTACTGATTGTTGGAAAAACCCAGCTGATTCACTAGTGCCCTTCAGGGATGGAAACTGCTATCCTTACCTGATCTGGCCTACGTGTGACTCTTAACAGTTCCCTAGATAAGTAGTAAATGCTGGCTGAGCCAGCAGTGCCCTCATTCTATGAATGAATTTAAAAAAAAAATCCCTGCTCCCGGAGAAGAAATTCCTTTGCATCTCTGTTTTAAATGAGTGTCACCTTATTCTATAACTATGTCCTGAGTTCAAGATTCCCTCACTGGTGGAAACATCTTTTCAGTGTTGACCCTGTCAAGCCACCTCACAATCTTCTATAATTCAATAAGATCACCCCTCATTCTTCTAAATTCAAATTAATAAAGGCTGAACCTGCTCAGCTGTTCTTGTTCGTCTCAGGAATAGTCACCCTTAAAATACAGGGACCCAAAATATATACTCTTCTCCGTATGCAGCCTCACCAACACCCTGTTCTATTGTTACCAGTCTTCCGGTTTTTGAACTCTTCCCCACGCACCTCCCCCACCCCCCCTAACCCCAGCAATAATGACCAAAATTCCATTCACTTAATTACTTGCTGTACCTGTATGCTACCTCAGTGTTTCATGCACGAGAAGAAACGTGTTTTTGGAATCTCCCTCAATTTAAGTAATTCTTTATTTTTTGCCTTTTTCCTACGAAAACCTATACTTTCGTAGATTAATATCCATCTGCTAAGTTTTTGTCCACTCATAACCCATCGATATCCCCATGCAGATTCTTTGTATCCTCATCACAAAGGTGACAGTTTTCATTAGGCTGTAGTTGCCTAAAATCCCACTCCATTCCCTCCTTTTTCACTCACTTCTCCTCACTTTTCCAGTTCTCTTTCCCTTCTTCCTCATCTTCAATTGAGGCCAGAGTCACGTGCAGTCCAAAGCAATGGCAGCTTCCCTTTCCTGAAGGATATTTGTCAATCAGTTGGGTTTTTATCACAGTCCAGCAGACTTCTTGGTCATGTTTTCCGAGAGCTGGCCCCACAAATGACCAGATTAGTTCAACTCAATTTCACAACCTGCCTTTGTGTTGTTGTGGGTTCTGTCTCACTCTTCTGTTCTTTTTTAAAATCAATTATATAGGGCAGTACAAGGGGAGAATTTGCAGTCAGGAAAGTGAAATGAAACATCACCTCAGGATCTGGTGGAGTTGCTCAATTTTTCCTAACCTGAATATGATTGGATTTTGAACATGGAAGGAAACAGCACTGTTCAGAGTGGGGAGAAACTGTACATGTGTTCTGTGTGTGGACAAGGCTTCGGCCAATCTTCTGGCCTGTCAAGACATAAATGCAGACACAATGGTGAGAAACCATGGAAATGTGAGGATTGTGGGAAGGGATTCAGATCCCCTTCAGAGCTGGAAACCCATCAACGCTGTCACACCGGGGAGAGGCCATTCACCTGCTCCAAGTGTCAGAAGGGATTCACTCGGTTATCCACCCTGCTGTCACATCAGCGAGTTCACACTGGGGAGAGGCCATTCATCTGCTCAGAGTGTGGGAAGGGCTTCTCTCGGTTATACCACCTCCTGACACACCAGCGGATTCACACTGGAGAGAGACCATTCACCTGCTCAGAGTGTGCAAAGGGATTCACTCAGTTCTCCAGCCTGCTGATACACCAGCGGGTTCACACTGGAGAGAGGCCATTCACCTGCTCTGAGTGTGGAAAAGGCTTCACTAATTCATCCAACTTGTTGGAGCACCAGCGAATTCACACTGATGAGAGACCTTTTAAATGCACAGAGTGTGGGAAATGCTACAAAAGTTCAGGGGAACTAATATCCCATCAACATGTTCACACGGATGAGAGACCATTCACGTGCTCTCACTGTGGGACTGCATTCAAGACAGCGTCTGGCCTCACTAAACACCAGCGAGCTCACAGCGGGGAGAAACCGTTCACTTGCTCCGAGTGCGGGAAGGGATTCACTCAGTCATCCAACCTGTGGAAACACCAGCGAGTTCACACTGGGGAGAAGCCATTTACCTGCTCTGAATGTGGGAAGGGATTCGCTGAATCATTCACCCTGTTGAGACACCAGCAAATTCACACCGGCGAGAGGCCATACACCTGCCCCCAGTGTGGGAAGGGATTCAAGCACTCATCCAACTTGCTGACACACCAGCGAGTTCACAAGTAACTACAATATTTGGATTTGGCTGTTAATCTCATCAAATGTTCATTGTGGTGTGTTTCTGTTGATGTTAATAAACTAAACCCCAATTCAAGTGTTTAATATTCTGAATAAAATAGGGTAAAAAAATTGGTATAATATAGAGAAAGGAGCTTAGTTCTGGAGATCAAGATGTAGAATCCGTTTGGGTTGGGATTAGAAACCATAAAAAGTCACCTATGGAAGACTTTTATAGGTCCTCAAACAGCAAGTGGACTGTATGATATGGTTTTCAGCAAGAGACAATGGTAGTTTGAGAGAAAGCCGTGGTGATTATCATGGGAGTTCTAATCTACATATAGATTGGAAGAATCAGCTTGGTAAAGGTGATGTGGAAGATGGAGTGGTTTGGGGTTAGTTTCTTTGAGCGGCATGTTCTGCAAAAAAGCAGAGGGCAGGCTATACCAGAGCTAGTATCGTGCAATGAAATGCTGTTAGTCAGTGATTGTGCCTCTGGACAGCAGTGATCATAATATGATTGACTCTCTCATTAATTTGAGGGAGAGGAGTGTGGGTCTAAGTCTGGTATATTAAACCTAAACAAGGCAAATTATGAGGGCATGATGTCACAGATGGCTAAAATTAATTGGCAAATTAGGATAAGCCATAGCTTAATAGAGATGCAATGGCAGTCCTTTACAGGGATATTTCAGAATAAGATCACATGGGGTTAGCGATAATACATTAGTTTAAATTGAAGATTGGCTATCTGGAAAGCAGATAGACAGGATAAATGGGTCTTTTTCTGGTTGGTAAGCTGCAACTTGTAATGGGCCACAGGATTTGTTCCTTTTTAAAATCCATATTAATGACTTAGATGCAGGGATAGAATGCCCTATAGCTAAATTTGCAGTTGACACAAAAACAGGTAGGAACATATAGTTGCAATAAAGAAGAAGGAAATTTACAAGTGGACGTAGGTAGGTTGGGCAAAAGGGCTAAAGTTTGGCTGATGGATTAAACTTGGATAAATGTAAGGCTATCCATTTTGGTCAGAAGAATAAAAAGGCAACTTTGGGGCAGTACGGTGGCTCGGTGGTTAGCAATGCTGTCTCACAGCGCCAGGACTGGGTTCGATCCCAGCTTTGGGTGACTGTCTGTGTGGAGTTTGCATGTTCTCTGTGTCTGCATGGGTTTCCGCCAGGTGGTCTGGTTTACACCCATAGTCCGAAAACTTACAGGTTAGGTGGATTGGCTGCGCTAAATTGCTCTGTAGCGTGCTGGCTTGGTGTGTGAGCTACGGTAAATGTAGGGTTTCGGGGATGGGCCGGGTTTGGAGTGGGATGCTCTTTGGAGGGGTGATGTGGACTCAATGGGCCGAACGGCCTCTTTCCACACTAGGGATTCTATGATTATCTAAATGGAGAGAACTTCGAAGTCCTTCGACGTAGAACGCTCTGGGCATCCTTGTTCATGAATTGCAGAATGATGGTGTGCAGGATATAGGGAAGGCGAGTAGAAGTTTGGCATTTATTGTTAAAGGAATGGAGTATAAAAGTAGGGAGGTGTTGTTGCAATTGTACCAGGCATTCATGAGACTGCATCTTGTGCAGTGAGTACAGTTCTTTCCCCTTGATTGAGGAAGGTTACAGTTGTGTTGGATGCAGTTCAGAGAAGGTTAATTTCAGCAATATGGCTTGTTTTATGAGGTTGAGTGCTTTGGGGCTATACTCACTAGAGTTCAGAAGACTGAGAGGAGATCTGATTGTGGCGTATAAGATACGAAAGAGGGTTGACAAAGTAGATGTAGAAAAGATGTTTTCCCACCCTTTGTTGGGTCATAATTTTAGGCTGAGGGGGTGGCAGATTTAAAATACATGGGGAAGAATTATTTCTCTCAATGGGTTGTGAACCACTGGAATTCCATACACCACTGAATGGTGGATGCCAGGACACTGAATAACTTTAAGGACGAGATTGACTGACAGATTGTTAAATAGTTATAATTTGAAGGGTGATGGGGAGTAGGCAGGAAAATGGAGTTGAGGCCAAAATGAGATCAGTCATGGTGGTATGAAATGGGAGAGCAATGTTGAGGGGGTGAACTTCCTCCTCCTGCTCCTGGTTCTTATGTTTTAACACTCAGATAAAGTACATTATAGTGATAAACAATTGAAACAAAGGATGTGGTATTCATGGCTAACAACAGGGAGTTAAAACTAGCTTCAGGTCGAAAACAAAACAAGGTATAATTCTGCAAGTATGAGCGGCAGATCAGAGGATTGACACAATTATTTAGCTAACAGGAAAATGAAAGTAGGCAAAAGTGAGTCATATTCCAGGGGCAAGAAGTGATGAGTGGAGTGCTGGGATCTCAATTTTTCACTGTTTATTTCAATGACGTGGAATGAATGGACAAAAGATATGGCTGCTGCATTTGCTGGTGACACAAAGATGGAGGGACAAGTAGGTTGTGAAGAGGACGCAAGGAATATATGCAGAGACGTATCAACAGGTTAACTGGGCCAAACAAAACGGAGATTGTGTGTAAAACGTGACCCTTCCTTCTTTGGCAACAAGAATCGAAAAACAGCATATTATTTAACTGGTGAGAGGTTACAGAAGGTTGCGGTACAGAGGAATCTGGATGTCTTGGTACATGAATTACAAAACGTTCGCAGGCAGGTACAGCAAGTGATTGGGAAGGCAAATGAAGTGTGATTGTTTACTACAAAGGAGTGGAATGGAAAAGTAGGGAATTAAAACATAGCATTGCTGGAGAAACTCAGCAAGTCTGGCAGTGTCTGTGGAGAGAGAGAGAAAAACAGTTAACATTTTGAGTCCTGTACCTTTGTTTTTATAAAAGTAGAAAATTTCCCTTCAGTTGTGCAGGGTATTCATCAGAGCGTATTCAGTGCACTGTATAGAAGTCCGTCTCCTTGCTCAAGGAGGGAAATGCATTTGATGCAATTCAGAGAAAGTTCACCCAAATGACTCCTGGTATGACCGTTATATGACAAAGACAAGTTGGGCCTAGATTGAATGCAGTTTAGAAAAAGGAGATGTGATCTTATTGAAACATACAAGATCCTGAAGGAGCTGACAGGTGGATACTGAAAGAATGTTTCCTCTTATGGGAGGGCCTGGGACTACAGGATCCATTTTTAAGAGTTGAGGAGAATTCTTTCTCCAAGTGTTGTGAATCTCTGGAATTCTCAGCTCCAGTGAGTGGTGGATAGAAGATCCTTGAATATTCTTAAGGCAGAAGTAGATAAATTCTTTACAAACAAGCAGGTCAAGAGGTACCTGGGCAGACGGTAATGAGGAATGGAGACCAAATCGGGACAGCAATGAATTTACTGAATGGGGGAGCAGGTTGAAAGGGCAGAACAGCCTATTGCAGCACTTGTGTGCTGTTTTGTATGTCATCTAACAGTCAAACAAATCAGGTTTGTGTTAAGCACATAGAGACATTAAAAGCATCCAATACTTTAACAAATTAGTTCACTTTGAAAGGCTCTCTCTTTCCCCTGTTTCCTCCATCCTTCACCTCCATACAGTCATAGAGCACGGAAACAGGCCCTTTGGTCCAACCAGTCCATGCCAACCACGATCCCAAACTAAACTAGTCCCACCTGCCTGCGCTTGGCCCATTTCCCATCAAACATTTCCTATCCACGTACTTATCTTTTAAATGTTGTGACTGTATCTGCATCCACCACTTCCTCTGGAAGTTCATTCCACATAGGAACCACTCTCTTTGTAAAACAAAAAAATTTCCCCCATAGTCTTTTTAAATCTTTCTCCTCTCACCTTAAAAATATGCCCCCAATCTTGAAATCCTCCACCCCAGGGAAAACAAAACACCTGCCATTCACTTTATGTATACTCCCTCATGATTTTATAAACGTCTTATAAAGGTCACCCCTCAACCTCCTTTGCTTCAGTGAAAAAAGTCCCAGCCTTTCCTTATAACTCAAACCCTCCATTCCCAATAAGTGTGAGGAGCTCTTTTGTCACTAACTTTTCTCTTTGACAAGAGGAAGGTAATTGATGTTCTGTTACTTCTTGTTCAGTTTCATCGTAATTCTGTTCTGTCTTACTCCAAGTTGTTTCTGTTCTCAAAACTTCAGTTACAGAGTTCCATGCCAACCACAATTCAAAACCAAACATGATATTGAATGCCAATTTCCACCCCGCTGTCACCTTCACCTGGTCCATCTCTGACTGCTTCCTTATCTTTGTTTCTGGAAATAGGCTGGCCACTGATATCCAGTACAAACCCACCAACCTCCATGGTGACCTGGACTTTACATCATCAAATTCTGTTTCCTGTAAGGACTCTAACCCATTTTTCCAGTTTCTCTGTCTCCATTGCATTAGTTCTGATGATGCCACTTCTGCAGGAGGGCGTCAGAAAAGTCCACCTTTTTCCTCAACTGGGTTTCCCTCCTATTGTGGTTGACAGAGCCCTTAGTCGTGCCCAACTTACCTCCCGCACTTCTGCCCTTGCCCCTTCTCTTCCCTCCCACACAACGATAAGGTCCGCCAGTCCTCACTTACCACGCCACCAGCCTCCACATCTAAAGGATCATAAGCTGTCATTTCCGTCACCTTCAATGGGATGCCAAGACCAGACATAGATTTCCCTCCCTTCCTTCGTCAGCATTCTGCAGGGATGATTCCCTTCAGGAATCCTGGTCCACTCTTCCTCCATTCCCAACACCTCCTCACACCCCCATTTCATCATAGAAGGCTTAACACCAGCGGTTTACCTTTTCCCTCCTCACTATCCAAGGCCCCAGACATATCTTCCAGGTGAAGCAGCAATTTACCTGCATTTCGTATGATCTAGTTTTCTGTATTCACTGTTCTGAGGAAGGGTCACCGGACCCGAAACATTAACTCTGATTTCTCTGCACAGATGCTGCCAGGCCTGCTGAGCTTTTCCAGCAACTTCTGTTTTTGTTCTTATTTACAGTATCCACAAATATTTTGGCTTTTATTCTATATTGACTGTTCA